TCTCAAGGATGAAAGACAGGAGAGCAGAAGGTAGGCCGGGACTGTCTGCGAAAGTAAGATTGGATGCCTGCCCGAAATGATGCGGATGCACATGCACGCACACGCACACACACAGACACACAGACACACAGACATACACATACACACACAGACACACACACACACACACACACACACCATGCTTTTGCATTCAAACTTCTTTATTCTTGCAGAATCCAGATGTCAACCTCCCAGCTGGGAGCCCCAGGCCCTCCCTTTTCATGAATAAATTGCCTCAGCCTGGCCGAGCCCCCTCCCACACTCCCTGGTGGTCCACCTTGCCATGGGCAACCAGTCTCCACCGTACCATAGGCAAGACTTTGAAATTATACTCTTGCCTTGAACATAACTAAATTCTTGGGCAGAGTTGGTCTCAATCACTGTTGACTGTGTTGTTTTAAATAATTTTTTTTTAATCTAGGCCAAATTCATTTCTTTGTGACTGCAAATTTTCAAATAGTTAAACTTTCCGGTTTCCCTTCTGCATCTAAAAGATTAAATGTGGCAGCTTTGTCTCCTTAGCCCAGGCATAAATGTGAGCAGTTTTTCTCTGTGGATGTAGGTCCCTATATGTTGAGGGCTGGAGGTGGAGAGGCAACCCTCTTGGGTTGTTGGGATAGAGGTGTGTTTATTTTACAGTGAGCAAAGCCTCACTTATGAAATGTGTGCTTAGGATTTCAGAATTGGTACGTCTGCTAGAATCCCTTGTTTTTCAAAATCATGTCGTATTTCGGCAGAAACTGCTGGGAATCCACCAAATCTTTCTCTCCCCTTCCATGCTAAGAACGCTGTAGCTGGGCCCAGGGTCCCCCAACTAGGGACTCTGTTTCCAAGCCCCCTTTGCAGCTGACTGTGAGGTCATGTGATTTGGCTCTTGGCTGCCGAAGACCAGGGGAGTGTGGATGTGTCTTATGCCACCATTCCTTTCCTCAGGAGCCAAACACAGCCCTGGCTGCAGCCAAAATTCACCACAAAGATGAAGACAGTGCCCTAGAAAGTTAATGGGAAACTGGATGAAAGGAACCTGAGTTGAGCAACCCCATGAGCAGAGAGCCCACCTAGCTGACGTGGACCGCAATAAGAAGGAAACAAGCTTATTGTTTTAAAGATTTTATTGATTGATTGAGAAAGAAAGAGAGTGAGAGTGGTAGGAGCAGAGGGAGAGGGAGTGGGAGAGAGAGAACCTCAAGCAGAGCCCAATGTGGGGCTTGATCCAATGACCTTGAGATCACGACCTTAGCCCAAATCAAGAGTTGGATGCTTAATTGACTGAGCCATCCAGGCACCCCCCCAGAAGTTTGCTCTTTGACATCAAACCCATGCTCCCGGCTTCCATGGATGCTGCGTTCTTGTCAGCTGAACCCTAAAATCTTAGGATATGGCCTAGACAGCCAGTCTCTGAAACATATTTCTAACATATTTCTACCCTTGCCCATAAAGGACAGACCTTAGCCATAAAGCAAGTTGGCAGTACAACTGTGACCATTATTGCCTCCAGATAATCAGCCTCTACCATGGACCAGGCCTGCACTAGATCCTTTAAACACACTATTTCCTTTATTCTTTGCAGGGCCCCCCGCCCCTGGCTGGAGGAGTTCTGCCATTTATGAGTTGAGGACGCTGAGGTGCACAAATGCTCTGTGGCTTGCCCAGGATCACACAGAGAACAAGGCGGCCCTGGGACTTGGCCTGTCCCCTTCCAGAACACATGTCCTTCCCCTCCACTGCTTCCAACCTGACCCGCAGCTTCAGAGGTTCAGGGCCGCACTGCTTTTGGACACAGCCCATATCCCCTCCATCACTGTCTGCTGAGGCAAGCAGAGCAATGTAGGAAATACTTAACATGGTGTTTTTTTGTTTTTGTTTTTGTTTTTTTTTTAATTAGAGAGGGAGAGCGCATGAGCCAGGAGAGGGACAGAGGAAGACAGAGAAACCGACTCCCTGCTGAGCAGGGAACCTGACTCAGGGCTCAATCCCAGGCCATGAGATCATGACCTGAGCCAATCCACTGAGCCATCCAGGAGCCCCCATAGTGGGGTTTTTAGTCCAAAGCAACATGTGCTGTAATTCACGTTGGGGAAATAGCAAAGTAGGAGTTGATCTAGAATTTTGTTGCTCAGCTTGGTTGTCAGAATGTCCTAGAGAAACTGTTTTCATTTCACCCCAGCAACAGGGATCAAGATTCAAGACAAAAAGGTAGTGGATTTTTAGGGGTAGTCAGAATTAGGATGACACTTCTGAGGCTTATTGGTGTCTCATTTTCTGAAGCAAGGCTCTCCCAAGGAGTTTCTGGAACAGTTATTACCATCGTCACTGCCCAGGCCCCACAGAAAAAAATTCAGGGGCCCCAGGGCTAAAGAGAAGATGTAAACCAAAAGCCAACAAGCACCACTTTCCCTGCAGACCTCAGGGAAGGAGATAAGAACTTGGTAGTCATGCATCGTCTTAGGAAAGCTAAGTTCATTATAGGTTCGGGGAGGCTGGAGAGAATTCTGAAGGTGACGGATCGGAAGTCAGAGGTGAAGACTAACTGGCTGGAGTTACTTATTGGGGCCATGATTGTTTTTTAAAAGTGGGCGACCCGGTTGTGACCCCCATTGTTCAAATGGTCTCCCCGTTGTCATCATTAACTTCTTGTCGTCATTCCAGCTTGGTTAGTAATGTCAAGGTTCTAGTTTTCCTGAAGCTGTTTTGTCCTAGGAGGTGTTAGACACTAGATTCGCAGCTTACTCTTCATGGGCTTGGTGCTAATTTTGGTAAGAACATAGTCTTGTACACTGAAAGAGCAATAATACTTTATTTAAAATATATACAAAATTATTACTTTAAAACATATATATTACTGTCCAACATACATCATGTAACACTGATTAATAGAAATTTGGATACTTTCATTCATTCAGTTTGTGATTTCTCTTTTGCGGCTGAAGAACATTCTCTTAAACGCCCACCAGAGGGGAGGGCCCAGTGGCCTGTTACCCTGGGTGGTCTGGCTGTGCTTTTGGACACCACTGAAGCCATGCAACTTGTCTTGTGGGAACTGAGGGCAAAACCTGACCCTGCCTGGTGCACTAGGGACACAGAGCTGACGGGAGCCCCCTCAATTGATGACATGCCAACTGCCAGTCTTTGGTCTCTCTCTCTCTCTCTCTCTCTCTCGTCTGCTTATAAATGGATGGGGGAGTTGGTGAGAAAGTGGCAATTATTTCCTTGACAGACCTTCCTCTGGGCTTAGGTTAATGTAAATCATGGTCTCTTTCTTTGCCTCTGTCAACAGTACCATAGGAAGAGAGCATTAGAATGGGGAGTTGGCCTCTTAACACAATCTTGGAAAGGAAATGAGAAAAGAGACAAAAACAGAGCTTCTGTGCTGTTAGACCAAATTCAAGTTACGATTATCCGAAATAAATTGGACAACTGCTTTTCGTCACAGCACATGCCTTATTCATCACTATTCCCCACAGTGCCTTGCACCTACTAGGCACTTAATAAATGCTCATTGAATGGATAAATAAATGCAGGGCACTGGGTGACTCTGAGTAGGAAACATACATACTTGGAATCTGAGCGTCTGCGAAATGGCAAGGGACTCTAGAGATCATCTAGACCTCTTTCCTCACTTGGCAAATGGGGAAACCAAGACCCTGGACAAGTGTGGTGAAACAGGACTAGCTGTCAACAGAGTTAGACTTGCAATCAGATTTTCTGAATCTCTCCTTGTATTTCCCACTCTCTTCAGATCTGAAACTGTAACAAGAGCTCAGTGGCTTCAGTGGCATGCCTGAACTTGAAAATCATCCCCTGGCATCAGAAGCTCCTGGTGGTGATGGGTGGTCCTGGGCACAGTGGCCGAGTGGACGGCACAAGCAGAAAGGTCCCCTCCAGGCAGCTTTAGTCCTGGGGTCCTGGTCCCAGCTGGGGTCAGAGGCCCCAGGTTCGGGCAGGTGGCCCAGACAGCAGCAGTCAGACTGTGGATCTGAATGAGGTAGGAGGAAGGCAGAGCTCAATGGGGAACCACTCAGCAGGTTGGGTGTTTATGATGCCCCCTGCCCCACCCCAGCCCCAGTGCTAAAGTCCATGCCGCAGCTCACCAAGCCTGTAGCCTCAGGGAGTTGAGAGGAAACATAAACCAAGCCCACTGGCCACTTCTGAAACTGAAAGCAAGTCACTATGGATACTTGCTGAAAAGAGGAATTATAGGAAGAGTGGGTTTCTTCTGTGCATGGGAAGGATGGCATGAAACAAAGGGAGGCACGGGGAACAGTGGAGGGAAAGAGAGAAGGGGCAGGGGGACTGTCATGGCCGACAAGGAGGGCTTCAGGGCCCGGGGACAGGGCTGGGCCAGGTAGGAGCGGTTGGGTACATGCAAGGACACTTGGGTGGGCTTCTCATTTCAGCTGAGCTACCCCTGATCATTTTCTGGGCTTCGAGCCACTGACACCTCCCATGTGTCCCACTGGGCAACTGAAAAGTACAGGGGCTCACTCTGCTTCCTAGTGCGATTTTGGTTTATAGAAAGGACGATTCGGCATGATCAGAAGTGCACACCCGACCAACATAAAGAGCCTTGCGTATTTCCCATGCTCCACAAACATAAATACCTGAAGAATGCTGGCATCGAATGAAGTGAGTGGTAACCCATGAGATGATCCCTATTGGACTTCCCATCTCAGAGCAGGTACCACAGGACTGCTCGGAAGCAGGTGCACAGGGGAGCTCTTTAGACAGAGCCTTCCTCCGGCCCCACACTCAAGTGCTTGCTCCCTGCACCCCCTCCCTAACTATCCGCCCCCATATGCCCACCCCATTCCCACTTTGTCTCAACTACCTTCCAGTTTCCATCAGACCCAAATACGGCTCTTCTCCAGGGAGGAACAAAAATAATTCATCTTGCAAACCTGGGAGCTGCCACCTATCCAGTAACAAATGGTACCTTTGTGCTTACAGGGAGGGCTACCAAAAATGCTGACTACCAACCACCAAGGCGCCAGGACCTGGAGCAGAAGGACGCATGAGCTGTGCCCTGGAACCAGTCCCCCATCCTCCCCCACCCCATGTCCTAAACGGCGGACTGGTTTTCATTGCACACGTAGACCGTGCTCGGCTGGATTCTCCTCCGGATCCGCTCAGGCACTTTGGGGAGGATTTGGACGGTCTGGGGCAGCAACTCAATGCAGGCCTCGCGGAATTTTTTGATTCTCCAGCAGTAGACGATGGGGTTGAAGACGGACTTGAGGTAGCTGAGCCACAGGACGCAGGAGCTGGTGGTGTAGAAAGAGGAGCTGCAGTAGAAGCCCCGGCTGAACACCGACAGAAGGCTGTAGACGGAGTGCGGCAGCCAGCAGAGCGAGAAGCCCACAAAGAGGATCAGGATGGTGGTGCAGGCCTTGGTCTTGAAGCTCAAGTCCAAGCTGACCTGCTGTTGCCGCTGCAGCCGCCGCAGGCCAGCCCTGGTGAGCTGTCTGAGGTCCAGGCTGTCGGACTGGTTGCGCACGCGGATGGCGTTCTTGCGGACCGTGTGCAGGATGCACAGGTAGGAGCACAGCATGACGCCGAAGGGCACGAAAAACACGGCCACCACCAGCGTCACCACATAGGCGCGCTCCGCCGGGAACTCCGTGTAACCCAGCACGCACTGGGGGGCCCGCGCCGGCACCTCCACGAACGTCCGGCCTGCCAGCGAGGGCGCCGACACGCAGAACGACAGCGCCCAGGACACGGCGATGATCCTCTTGGCCCGCCGCGGGTTCAGCTTGTCCTGTCGTTGGACAATGATGAGGAAGCGGTCCACGCTGATGATGAGCAGGATGGCCACGCCCTCCAGGACAAAAAACCAGTACAGGGTGGCCGAGAGGCGGCAGAAGTAATCCCCAAAGTGCCAGTGGACTGTGATCAGGGTGACGGCGGTGAAAGGCATGCAGCATAAGGACAGCATGATGTCGGAGAAGGCCAGCGTGGCCAACAACAGGTTGATGGCGGAGCGCATGGCGGGCCGCTGATACACGATGATGCAGACCACGGCATTGCCGAGGAATCCCACCACGATCATCAGCATCATGATTATCGCCAAGGATATCCTGAGGGGGGCGGGTGGTGTGGTGACCCCAGAGTACGACACACTGCTCCCGTTCAGCAACAAGTACTGGTAGGTCTCGGGGCTGGAGCTGTTGCAGGCCATCATGGAAAAAAACCAGGAGCCGGGGCAGAAAGGACAGGAAGGACTCCCCTCAGCGCTTTGGTGGCTGCCATTTTGTGTCTGCCCGTTGCATGTCTGGGATCTCTAGCGCATTGGAATGGTGGTGAGAAACGTCTTTCTTTGGGAACAGTAGCCAGGATTTGCAATTCATCAGTCACAGCCTCATCATCTGCATGACAACTGGATGCTCTCTGTAGCCTAGAGCAGAGAGGAGCAGGGGAGAGAAGGGAGTGAGACTTTCCAAGCACGGTTTGCATACAGCAGCGTTTAGATTTGACAAGTATTATAAACATTGCGGTAGAGAGAAAGAATGACTCATTGATTTACCATTCGGGACAAGGCTGGGCAGTCACAAATACTGTGAGCCTTGTCAGGTAGCCCAGGGAAATCTAATCAGACCTACTTTGTGTGGAATGAGGAACTGAATAGTCAATATTTATGTCATGAACATGCATTTGATACATTTTATTGTAAGGAACCTGACCAAATGAAGCTTTGGACAAGCCAACTTCCTCTAGAATGCCAGCTTCGTGAGGGCAGGGATTCGTGTGTGTGTCTTGTTCTCTGCTGTTATCCACAGCACTTAGAATGGTGCCTGACACAGAGAAGATGCCCAATGTTGAGGGGAAGTTAATGAATACATGGTAGTTGACGCTGTTGCTACAATATTTGTTTAACTTTATTTTTTTTAAGATTTTATTTATTTATTTGACAGACAGAGAGAGCACCAGCAGGGGGAGCGACAGGCAGAGGGAAAGGGAGAAGCAGGCTTCCCACTGAGCAGGGAGCCTGTGTGCCTGGATCCCAGGACCCTGGGATCATGACCTGAGCCGAAGGCAGATGCTTAACCAACTGCGCCACCCAGGTGCCCCTTAACTTTATTTTGAGGTAAGTGTAGATTCACATGCAGTTGTGAGAAAAAAAACTCAGCGAGATCTCATAAGCCCTTCGCCCGCTTTTCCCTAATAGTAACGTCTTCAGTTACGGTAGTGTTGCCCTAGGATTACTTTTGGAAATGCTGACGGAAAGGAGGAAACTCTCCCTAAAGAAAGTTCTTTTAAAAGATAATGTTAATTTTTATTTCGTGTCTCATAGGTGTGGTAAGAACGGTGTCCAGTAGCTCATGTGTGGAGTCAGATTGCCGGGGCTGGGTAAAGTCTGCATCCACTACTTATCTATCACTGGGCACCCTCTGGCAGGCTGCTTAGCCTCTGCTGATAGGACCTCCTCCTCTGTAGCCTATGAGTGATAATTAGGCCTACGACAGAGGAGCAGCACAGATTAAATGCGAGAATCGCCACAGAGTGATTTAACCACACCTAGATCATAGACACTATTCAATAAATGTTAACTGTTATCATTGGAGCCCCAAGGGAAACCAATCACAATGTTACAATAGCTTTGGTTCATTTGTATGTTATACACATGGGCGCATTTGCATCTGTTCTAGACCTGCGGGCAGGTGAAGTGGCTCTTCGTACCCAGGGTGAGGATGTTCATTGTACATTTCCAGTTACCTCACCCCTCCCCATTTTCAATACAGGCATACCTTGTTTAGCGACACCCTCTCTTTATTGTGCTTTGCAGATGATTGCGTTTTGTTTGTTTGTTTGTTTACAAATTGAAGGCTTGTGACTATCCTGTGTCGAACAAGTCTATCAGCACCCTTTTTCCCACAGTGTTTGCTTACTTTGTGTCTCTGTGTCACATTTTGGTAATTCTTCCAATATATCAAATTCTTCATTATTATTATATTTGAATTGCTGCAATCTCATGTTAAAACATTAATGCATGAGGAGTTGCTTCTTACGGATGAGTAAAGAAAGTGGTTTCTTGAGATGGACTCTCCTCCCGGTGAAGATGCCATGAAGATTGTTGAAATGACAACAAAGCATTCAGACTATTACATGAACTTAGTTGATAAAGCAGCAGCAGGGTTTGAGGATGGACTCCAATTTTGAAAGAGGTTCTACTGTGGGTAAACTGCCACCAAACAGCGTCGCCTGCTACAGAGAAATCGCTCGGGAAAGGAAGAGTTGATCCGTGTGGCAAACTTCATCTTTGTCTCATTTTAAGAAATTGCTACAGGGACCAGCATGGCGGTGGTGGGGGACAAGGAGAGGAAAAAAAAAAGTAAGAAAGAAAGAGAGAGAGAGAGAGAGAGAGAGAGAGAGAGAAAAAAAGAGAGAAAGAAAAAAAAAAAGAAAGAAAAGAAAGAAAGAAAGAAAGAAAGAAAGAAATTGCCCTGGCCCCCAGTCTTCAGCAACCACCACCCTGATCAGTCAGCAGCCATCAACATGGAAGCAAGACCCTCCCCCAGCAAAAAGATTACGAATTGCTGAAAACTCAGATGATGGCTAGCATTTTTTAGCAATAAAGTATTTTAAAATTAAGGTATGTACATTGTTTTTTTTTTTAAGATATAATGCTGTTGCACACTTAATACACTACAGTTTAGTGTAAGGATAACTTTTATATGCACCGGGAAACCAAAAAAGTCATTGACTTACTCTATTGTGACATTCGCTTTATTGCAGTGGTCTGGAACGGAACCTGCAATATCTCCGAGGTGTGCGTGTATAGCTGATTAGACGGGCAGCCTTCACAAGGGCAGCTAATGCATAGCCTGGCCAATGATGGCAGAGCCAAAATGCTCTCCTTTAGTTTAGCTGGAAATCTGAACTAGGAAATACTGCGCCACTACAGCAATTGCCCTGAGGGATGTAACAAAAGGGTATATAGAGAGAAGTGTCAAGGCCACGAACGTATAGTGGATACTGTGCCTTCACTTCTCCAGATCTTCTGGCTACTTTCTCTGGAGACTGGGCCCCCTTGGCCTCTGGTGGGAGGAGAGGGTGGGGAGGGCTTTCTTGCTCTGGCACCCTCCCACCTGGTGTGGTTGGCAGTGGTTTATTCCTCTCCAAAGCTCTCAACACCTCCAGGCAGCCGCCTCTACAGCCCAGCCCTCTCTGCAGATTCCCTACTGCTTCCTGCCTCAACCTGAAGGCTTAGGGGTGACGGGGCTTACTGAGGCTGCTAGCCCAGGGCGCCTTTCCAGCCCTCCTGGGTTTTCCTTAACCTGACATCTCCTTTGACGAGAATCAGGGGCTGATCTCATTCCTATCTACACCCTGACTGATACAAGGGGTCCTGGCAGACCAGAGCTATGAGGAAGCGGAAACTAAGAGTAAGTAGCTATGAGGAGGTAGAGAAAAGTGACATGTGTGTGGTATAAGGAAAAGAAACACAGGGAAAACTACCTCAGTTCCTGACAGGTTTCCAATTAAAGTTGCATTTCCAAATGTATATCACTATGTATGCCTTTGTTTTTAACTGCATTTTTAGCTTTTTGCTTTCATGTAGCTGTTGGCCATTTGTACGTCTTCTTTGGGAAAATGTGTAATCGAGTCCTTTGCCTATTTTTTTTCATCGGATTGTTTCTTTGCTCTTGGGTTGTATTTCTTTATATATTTTGGCAATTAACCCCCTACAGATACATGGTTTGCAAATATTTTCTCCCGTTCTGTAGGCTGCCTTTTCATTTTGCTGATGATTTCTTTTGCTGTGCAGAAGCTTTTTAGTTTGACATCATCCTGCTTGTTTTTTTTTGCTTTTTGTTGCTTGTTGATGTCATATCCAAAAAGTCATTGCCAAGACCAATGTCAAGAAGCCATTTTCCTATGTTGTCTTCTAGTTGTTTTGAGTCTTACATTTAAGCCTTTAATCCATTTCAGGTTAATTTTTTGTGAGTGGTGTGAGATAGGGGTCCAATTTCGTTCTTCTGTTTGTGAATACCTGCTTTTCCCAGCACCATTTATTGGAGACTATCTTTTCCCCACTGAGTATCCCTTGTCAAATATTAGTTGACCATACATGTATGGGCTTTTTTTTGGGCTCTCAATTCTGTTCCATTGATGTATATGTCTGTTTTTATGTTAGTACCATACCATTTGGATTACGATAGCTTTGTAATGAAGTTTGAAATGAGCAATTGTGATGCCTTTAGCTTGACTTTCTTTCTCAGGATTGCTTTAGCTATTCAAAATCTTTATTAGTTTTTTGTTTTGTTTTGTTTTGTTTTTTGCTGCTGTCATGTTTCCTTGATTTTTTATGATCCTTGTGGTCACAGATTGGTGTCTGCCCATTTGAGGAAGTAGGTACTTCTAGTCTTTACAGACTGGCTTCAGCAGGCAAGCTGGTCTAGAGATTCTAGGTGGGTCATCTGGTGGTGTCTGGGGCAATAGGTGGGTAGGCCTGATGCTTGGGTACAATGGGCCAGGCTTGGGGTTTCAACCTGCAGTTATAGGCCTGAGACCAGGTATGTGTGGGTGGGCCTGGATCCTGGGTCCACAGGGGCCAACCAGGCTCTAAGGACCACTGAGGTGGGCCCCAAGTCTGGGTTCAGAGGGCTGGGTCCAGAGGCTGGGGACATAGGGGTGGCCTATAACCTGGGGCTTCAGGGGCAGACATGGAGATGGGTCTGCAGGGGCCAGTCTAGTGTTGGAGTAAGCCAGGAATCTAAGTCCGTGAGAGCTGGTTTAGAGTGTGAGTTTATGGGGGCTGACTGGTGCTGGGATGGGCCAGCGGCCTGGGTCAGTCCATAGTAGTTGGCCTGGACCTGGAGCTGATTGAGAGCTGGAGGCCGCAGGAGCTGCTGGGTCAGCAGGAGCCAGCTGACACTGGGGTGAGCAGAGAGCCTGGGTTCACAGGAACCTGCTGGGGGCTTGGTACCCTGGGAGCCACGTAGAGCCGCAGGAATTGGCATGGTACTGGGGGTCCCTGGTGAAGTCAGGTGGTCACTTTTCTTCTCCCATGGAGACAATGTCTCTCTCTGTGCTGGGCTGTCAGGTTTGGGGTTGGGGGTGATGGAAGGAATGTGAATCTGTCTTTCCTTGCCTCCTTTGTTATTTCCAGGATAGAGGATTCATTTAGCTTGACAAATGTTTCCTTAAGATGGAACACACTTTTAAATTGTTAAACAATATATCATTCCTTATGTACTTCATTTTAAAATCACAGAATAGTGGGGTGCCTGGGTGGCTCAGTCAGTTAAGTGTCTGCCTTTGGCTCAGGTCATTATCTCGAGGTCCTGGGACTGAGCCTCGCATCGGGCTCCCTGCTCAGTGGAGAGCCTGCTTCTCTCTCTCCCTCTGCAGCTCCCCCTGCTTGTGCTCTCTCTCTATCTGTCTCTCTCTGTGTTAAATAAATAAATAAATAAATAAATAAATAAATAAATAAATAATCTTTTTTAAAAATCGCCGAATAGTTAATATAAAATAAACATGCAGAAGTCTGTTGTATTTCTATACACTAACAATGAAGCAACAGAAAGAGAAATCAAGGAATCGATCCCATTTACAATTGCACCAAAAACCATAAGATACCTAAAAGTTTACCTAACCAAAGAGGCAAGAGATCTGTACTCTAAAAACTATAGAACACTTATGAAAGAAATTGAGGAAGACAGGAAGAAATGGGAAAAACATTCCATGCTCATAGATTAGAAGAACAAATATTGTTAAAATGTCTATGGTACGCAAAGCAGTCTACACATTCAATGCAATCAATCCCTATCAAAATACCATCAACACTTTTCACAGAGCTGGAACAGACACTCCTAAAATTTGTATGGAACTAGAAAAGACCCCAAATAGCCAAAGTAATGTTGAAAAAGAAAACAAAGTTAGAGGCATCACAATTCCGGACTTCCAGCTCTATTCAAAG